GATAGTAAATTTTAAACACAAATATCAATATATCGCGAAACCAGTTTAGTTTTTCACTCTGACGTCAGTAATTCGAAATTGATTTAATAAATTCAGAGAAATGTGCTTACAGAAAAAGTATGGGCATCAAATTAAAGAGAAAACACGCGAATTTAAACAGAATTTAAACATAGAAATTTACGCGTTTTTGGTGCAGAAGGACTGATTAGTATTGCAAATGTCTTTTTAAAATTGTATCCTTGAAATTTCGCAATATTTGCTTTTGAAAAAATTATGTGTTAAGGACTCATATAAACTTGATAATATCATCGAATTTCGTCCTTCTAACTTTATCAGCTTAAAAAATTACCTACCTATTCGTTATTGTGTATCCAAAAAATTTTAATTTTTTTAAATTCTAAAGAAATTTCCTCTTGCATTTGAAACCAACATTATTATTCTACATTGTATTGAATTTTATGAATAATTTTTGGACTTAATCATATTTTTGAATTAAAAAGTCCTTTAAAATAAACCGTGACGCCAGAGAGAAAAAATAAAAATGCCACTTTATATAAAAAAGTAGGTTTCAAACCCATTTAATCTATTATTTATGTTATGGTAGGAGAGCTTCTCAAATAATACAGAAGCAATTTTTTCGATTAAAGTTGTTGAAAAGTAATGAATGTCCTTATCCCGGAACTAATCCCGGGAACCAAGGATTGTGATAACGACATCCTGAAAATCCCGGGTTCGGAAATAGCTGATAAATTAACATCCCTAGTACATACCAACATGTTTGAAAATATTAAAATCCACCATTTTGCACATATATCCCACATGGCGCATTTTTTTCTTATACCACAGCCTGCTTTGCGAACTGCTTTGGTGTCACGTGCCTGTTTAACAGGTTTAGTTGTCTAACGAGTTAGCATTGCGTTAGTGAGAAATGGGCAAAAAGGGCAAACAAAGGAGTATATGCTCGTACTTGCAGCACAGGCGAAGGAAAAGGATGTGATTTATGGACTTTTGGGTTATGAAGCTAGACACCGCAGGTGTTGCACATGTACTACATGCACATGGAAGGCAACTAACTAGCATTGGTGCAGAGACTTGCAGTGAGAAACTGTATGGGTCAATGGAGTATATCCGGTCACGGCAACACCCACTAGGATTGTGACCGCAGTTGCCAGTTGGACTAAAAGGTAATATAGAAAACTTCATTGTATCCACATTCTGCTGTTTCCCAGCTGGGGGCCCTTTTTCCTTCCTTTTTTCTTTGATCATAAAACTATTTGCTACAAGTGGCAAATGTGCCTGGGTGGGCTGGCCGCCAGCAAAGCACAACGCAGCACATGAGTGTTGTTTGTTTGTATGAACTTAGTTTGCATGTGTGCGTGTTCGCATCGGTGTGCTCAGTGTGACCCTGGGTGTAAGATTTATATAAATTATAACAAATTATGTCCGTAGAATGATCGAATGCTGTTGGTTAGTATGACGCAATTATGTAACTACACTCTTAGGGATTTGCGTGCCGTGTAAAAGCTCAGTTAGTCTACACTTAACTTAAATTAACTTACGCCGCCTAAAATGCCACATCAAAAAAAAAATCTTGCAAACAAAAAGGTTTGCTTTCATTTATTTTTAAGAAATACAAAAACGAGAGTCTGGCATGCCCGATTCTCTCATCGCTCTCAATTTCCGTAAGGCCGTAACTAAAGAATCTAAGATCTACAGGTTCTTAAGATCCTGAAATCTACAGGTTCTTAAGTTTATTACGGTAAGTTAAGTTTTAACTAATCGCCAACACAGTTTCTCATATAACAGGTTGGCCAAAATATTAAGTTAAGTTAAGTTAAGGAAATTGAGTCTAGATTAACTGAGCTTTAAGTAAACTTTTGATATTACACAACGGATTTTTTCAGTGAAAATATTTCCGAACAAAAAAATTTGGCGTAACAAAGAGTATCGATGGAAGGAAGAGATTGTGGGAAACAAACCCCATCCAGAAACATAAAATCGAAAAAATTTTAAATGCGAGAAACTAAGACCATTAAATGGTGCCGATCTCAAGGAAACAATTAAAGGCGACTTCGTTACCTATGACCACACAATTGTCCGTTACCGAACACAGATTAGATTCTTACTGCCAAAAGTTTCGAATTACCAAAGCATTTCTTAATAGTCTTGGAGTTAGTCGATCTGTTGGAAAAAGTTCGTGGCTGTCGATGTCTGAACAGGTTCATTCAATCCTTTTTCAAAACACATACCCGGGCAGTAGTGTAGTCCAAAAACAGCAAAGTCGGAATTTTAATGCTGAAAACCCCTAGTATTGTTCTATACTGAAAAGAATATACCCCTTTTTTTATTTTGAAATCAAAAAATATTTAGGGAGTGCTCAAAGCGCTCAAAGTTGTTCATGTATTTTATATGGGGATAAACAACTTTCCGTAGAAATGGTACAAAATTCTTGAAAATTAATATTTTTCGATTGGAAAACTCTGATTCTCTTCAAGAGACTTCCAATATTAATATCCAATTGTTTATTTCACTATTTTTTATACTAAAGATTTCTCATGGGTCCCCCATTAGATTTTCTGGGGTTTTGACGGATCTACAAGATATACCATAAATAAAATTATAGTTTAAGAAACTAAAACTCGCTATTATAATTATCTTCGTACTGTCATCAGGTATGTAACTTGAGAATAGAAATCGCTGCATCTTTTGGGCGCATCAATATTACATAGTTACATTCCGAGCTAATAAAAGGGGGTAATAATAAAAAATGGTTAAAGAAACAACTGGGTATTATTATTGGGAATCTCCTGAAGAGAAATACTGATTTTCAAGAATTCTATACCATTTCTACGAAAAGTGGTTTTTCCCCATATAAAATACATGAAACAATTTGCGAGCCTTGAGCACTCCCTTAATATTTTTATTCCCCAGCGCACTAGAGCACAAGGGTATATTAACTGTGTTCACATAAAAATTGTTTGTAACAGCCAAAACGAATCGAGATAGATACAGACAAATGTATACATAAATGCTCAGAATGAATAGAGAAGTCGATTATGCCATGTTTCTGTCCATTAAAAAACAGGTCTAAATTTATAAAAATCAAAATTGATATTTATTTTTGTGATTTCAAAATTCTGAAGAAACTAAATTAAGTCTACGTGTCTCGGCGTTTTTTGTGGCATTTGGAAACTATCACATTTTCCCTACAGTGTTGTAAAAATAATTTTTCCCTCCTATAGGAAACAACAAAATTTAAATATAATACCCAAATTTTAATTAAATTCAATTTAAAATAAAAGTTTATAAGGCTTCAAAACATTATTAATTTACTTAGTCGATTTTCATTTTATTGACATGAACATTTTGTTTAAAAAAGTTTTTCCCAAATTAACTCTTTTTGTAGCTTTTTAATATAATTTTAAGTTTAAATTTCTTATTAAATTTTCCAAAAAATAGGCTTTGTCGTATAACTAATAGCCATTGACATTAACAAGTTTTGTAAGAAAATGGAATTCAGCTCGTAAAGACCGCTGACTCCGATAAGTAACTAACAAAGTATGTATAATCTTTATCAATTTCTTCATGCTCGCATCTACGGCTTTTAATGTGTCTGGCAAGAAGAAAATTTCATCGCAACTTTCTGGCAACTAAGAAAACATCTTTTGATAGCTCCCCAAGTGATATACATATGTATATAGAAATCAGCTTTTATACTTTAACGTAAGTATAATTATTATTTATCATAGTTTAAGGGTATCTGGAAGGGGGTAGGAACTGTGCTAAGTGTCTGGCAAGTGAACGACTGTAGATTTTAATATTATTACTAATAATAATATAAAAAAACTGACCTTTGTACTATAACGAATTTGAGGTGCTGTCTTTATACAACTTTACTACCTGGATAGCCACCACTATCCAAATTTCATAATCTGGGTGCGCTATTACCTGTGTTTGGGATATACATAGAGAAGCTTCAGGTTTGTAAAATAACGAAGGTGTGGCCGTCGCAGGCTCTTGGGCTAAATATATAAATTTCATCAATTAATCAAGTTTTAGGAGAAGAAGTTAGTAATTATTCGGTCTAAGGATACGTTTTGCAACGGAAGATGCCGAATTTGAATTATCGTCGGTACTGTCTGCATGTTCATGTCTTTCTAATATTATATTATTGTTGTCAAGTTCATTTGTTTGCTCGCCCAATGTTTCGATGCATCGGAGAAAAGAACATCGAGGCTAAAATACATCGCCAGAGAAACATCGATATATCGATGGTTTCCGATGTTTTGCAATTTGTTAATTTCTAGTTAAATTTAAAGCAATATTGAAAACTTTAATAATTATGAATGTATTTTCCTATATTTTATTATGTTTTCTATACCCTTTCTATTATTAGAATCAAAATGCATACCATCGTAAGGTCGTTCGGGCCTAAAGATCCTAGGCCTGATCTTATTGAAATTCTAAGGGGTGTTTGTTTCTGTTTTAACGGCTATTTTATTAACATTCAGAATGAATCCAATAATTTTATTGAGCTTGGGGCCGTTTCTTATGAAAATTGTTGTGGACAAGCAACAATAACTTTACAAAGGTAAGAAGTTATAGCTGCTATTTGGGAGATCACCACATCTACTAATCAGACTTCTTTAACCGCCGTCACTGAGGCGATGTGGTGATCTCCGGAATAGCAGCTATAACTTCTACCTTTTGTAAATTATTGCTGATTTTCAATAAAATTTTTCATAAGAAACGGCTTCAAGCTCAATAAAATTTTGAATATAATTGATATAAGGCCATAAATAACAAAAAAACTCTGAATGAATAATAAATTTAAGGTCAGTCAAACATACCGAAAGAAAGTCGGAGAGTCTCCTTAAAGTCGATGTTTAAAACATCGGTAAAACTTCCATCGATGTATCGTCAATTTCGCGATGTTAGTAAATTGCAAACATCGATGGCAAACATCGAAAATTGAACCGATATTATCGATGTATCAAAAACATCGATGCATCGTTTGCATTCCCTACGCCCAAGGATAGAGTTGAGCACGCGTTCACAACCTTACCAGCAAAACCAGGATCTTATAACAACACTCTTTGTTGCGATAAAATCCCCAAGTTTCTTTAAGCACACCAAAAAATCTCTCGACTGGATTTCGGGCTTTGCATAATGCCTCGTTGTACTAAAATTTAGGAGTACCCTCAGGGCATTAATCGCGTATCTTTGAAACAATAGTCGTTCAAACGATACTGACAAAACGACGTAGTCGAAACACTGATTTATGCAGTTTGTGTTGCTGTTACGTGTAAAGTTCTGCTATGTGAAGCAAAACTGGAATCGAGTTGAGATATCGCACAAACCATCAAACAATTTTTGGTTTTCATGTAGGAAAGACACTTCGTGATTCATGCCCAGGTTGGTTGGGTAAAGGCGTCATGAGCCATGGCTCGAATGGGTATCCAGAATCTTCTGAAAGCACTTATTTTTAAATTATGTACATTTAAAGTGAATTAAAAAGAATGCAATCAAATGCAAGTTGAGGATTCCATTGTCCAAAAGCTCTTTGCATGACTTTCCGCACTGGACAGGAACTCCAAATATATGAGTCATGCCATGCACCGGAAACTTCACATATCTTAAAAATATAAAAGTCATTTAGAGCTAACTTTTATTTAAAATACTTAGCTTACCATTTGCACATTTATCGAGTGGTAGTCCATGATGGTTCACGTACATATGCTTCCTTATGATCTTTTAGGGCCAAAATGGAAACATGCGTACAGTAAACCACCCCAATAGTTCCTCCAACGAAAGGCGCAGGTGCTGAACCTTTTGTCAATCGTCCCCGGTCTGGCTTAATTCAAAAACTTCGCATTGGTATCTATACTGATGTACGGTTAAGACTCAAACCCATGTCCCACGGTTCGTCTGATAACAGCTAATTATGTTACCTAGCATTGTAAACCCCTCGAATCGAAAAGTGATTTCAACCATATATACATCTGTTTAATTGAACTTTAATCCTGGATCAGCATATGTTAAATTTATTCAAGCAGCTAATACTACTCTCAGAGTTGATTGTATACATTAATGCTCGAACGCGTACTGCTTTGCGCCAATTGTTCTCCACATTTGGCTATTTCCATTCGTCGTAACACAAATGTGATGTATAAGCATTGAAAGGATGTACCTTAGACTTCAACTATTACACGTTATTGCGCTTTTGCTTAAACGAGAATGAAAATTACATAATATTAGATACCTTTTCCCATACCGAGTACCCTTCCTCAAGGGTTCCAGTTCGACGAGCTCCATTACACTCTCTGGGCCGCACCATATAGTTTCCGGATTCGGAAGGCGCCAGCTCAAATGGATCGTCAATGTCCCGAAGCAAACGCCGATCCATTGTGGGGGTATTTGCAATTCCATGGTTTCGGTGCAAACTATACACCACATATTCAAAAGCCATTTATTTTATTTTATTCACTTTTTGTATGCGCTTGTATTCAAATTTGTTGGGTTAACGCAAACTTAACAACACCAAATGAGATGTCGATAACTTAGCCATAATGGAATCGTTAACGAAACAGTTGATTTTGCGTTAGCGAATATCGATAAGAAAGTACTTATTTAATAGTAAAATCTTTAACATTATCGTTTAGCTAAATTAGCCACTGCGAATGTCATTAAAAAATATACCGAATCGTACTACAGTGCTGCAGATCAAATAAATATGTAGTACACCTGCACTTAACTAGCAGACTTAACCTAATTTCTTTCTCTTTATCACTGGTAAGCAAATAAAATAAAGTTATTCTTACAGCATATGTATTTGTAAAGGTTAATTTGTTGGTGGTACGTAAACTCTGCTGTGAGAAACTATTAACGTGTAACTACAAGAAGTTTTTGCCATTAAAACGTGTCCTTAATTTTCAACAGCAAACAGATGGCAGCTAAACGCCAGCCTTGAATCTCCATTTGCGCCACTAAACTCAATAGAGCATGTCCTATTTGGGTTGGGCTCCTCCATGTATTTCAATAAATGTTGGTAAATAAGTATATATGCTGGCTTATTTGTAGATGTACATACTTATGTAGGTGTTTTTTTCTTCTATCTATGGTTGCAACCTTAATAGTTGTAAATAGTTCAATAGCAATATCCGCTGCTGAGTAAAAGTGAAAATTGCCATTACCGAAACATCACAGTTCCCTCTAGAGCACTTTTCGGTTCTTCTTCTTCAGTTCCCATTCTTAAAAGGCACACACATGCGAGTTAAAATTTGTATGTGGATAGGAAACTGTTAACGCGTTGGTTTCCCCTGCAATTCCGCTAAAAATGTGCGCTATGCCACAGAGCTTGTGAAATATGGACTCGAAATTCTAAATTGCGCTTGCAGGTAATGAGGAAGTGTAACACATCTGGCTGCTGTTATTTTTTTTTTTTGGTAACGCAATTCGCGTTTAGCTCCTTACTCAGGCCCATCTGCTTGCTCTATTCACTAGTATAAATAACTTTAATTTGTGGATAGTATTATGAATTATTCGAAATGACAAAATTCACTACACAAATGGATTTTACACATCCCGTATACATATCAGGGTTGTTGCAGTTATTCGCTTTCGCAACCGCGGAGCTTCCGTATTAATTTGAACATTCGCAATAATCAATGCGGAGCTTTTGCGAATGCGAATGTTGTGGCAATGCACTGATAAAACGTATATCTGGCAAACAAAATGACAATTGTAGCCAAACATTTTTGCCTGTGGAGATGCTACGTTGGGTTATGTTACCTGGGCGCCGCGCATAGACGTATTTGTGTAATAAAACTGGTCAAAAGTCAGATTTATCAACTTTGATAAAAGGGTCTTTAAACTTAGTTATAGTCGCAAGTTAAAACCTCTTCTAGTTAAAACAAATCTTTAAGTTTAGAGCAGGCTTTAAGTTTTAGTCAATTATAGACATGTTAGAGGCAAGTTTTTGCTAGACTGACACAAAACAGGGCCATTCATATAAAATAAAAAAGTAACTAATCGGCATTAGAAAAACTTTGTTATTTTCACTCTGTGTCAACTGACTTTTATAAATATTTTTGAAAATGGCACAGCAAAGTTTACTTACACTTATTTAAAACACATTTTTTGTAAAATGTAATTTATTAAGGTAAATAATTTTATTTTTATAGGAAATAAAAATAATTACTCATACTCATATCAACGTCATTGAGAACAATACCAATGATGCATCCATGATAATTAAGAAAAAAGAAGCTTCGAAGCAAGTCAGGATAGCGATGATTGCCGCAGGACTTGACAGATGTTCGTTTATGTATTCCACTATTTCACAGCACATTGGATCAGCTACGTCACTTATCAGCACTTTGTCGTTATTGGGCAGCTCGACGAGGAGAGTGTTACTATCAATTATAATATCATGCTCTGAATAAGGCACTCTTCTTCATCTAATCTTGACACTTCAACCATGTTGCCGGTTGCTGCGACTGCCTTCTGTTCTGCCCGAAAAGACTTCCTTCTAGGCTTTTTTATTCTCTATTATCATGGAAGCATCATTGGTCTTATATTCAGTGATTTTATGTGCGAATTTATATATGTATATCTACATGAATTAATTCATTTTTTTTACTTTGTTATTTATTTCATTGAACTGATTTATTTTTTAATAGATAAGACTGAACTAAAGTAAATTTTTATAAACAAAGGAGTTTTGCTGTTCGAAAGTTCTGTAAGCAACTTAAGCAAAAGCTGCCCGAAAAGCTCTCCCACTATTAGGGACAATATTTGAGAAAGCATTAGCTTCTTTAGACTCCAACGGGACCACTGCAGATTCTGCATCTAAAACTGAATAGAGAATATTAATAGTCGTTTAAATTTTCGTTTTTTTTTCTTTTACATGATATATTCCGTTCCTTAGCGACGTTGTGAAGTACCGCAACAGCAACAATGACATTTTTGGCTATATCTAAATCCACGCGGAGTCTTTCATAAACGGAACGGAATTTCCATCTAAATTTCCCATTGAGGTATTCTTTTTTGGTTGGAGTAGAGGTATGTGATCTGTTATACCTAGAATTAGGAAAAAAAATGTGTGTATATGTAAATATTTATATAAATATGTATAAATACCTCTCTTCTTTTGTTTTGGGTGTATTTCGAAAGGGGGTTAACAAAATTGGGTACAAAGGATAACCTCCATCCCCAAGTAAAACCCTATTATGTTGGTTTCTCGTATGTTCTAATTAGGATTTCAGTTGGCAGTCATTCCAATCCGAGTTTTTAGCCGCGTAACCTCACAACGATATCTAAAATTTTGCATTCTGCGCTACGATCTGTTTTTTTCTTTTTTAATTATATTTATAGTAATAATCAAAACAAAACATCAGTATAAATAACCTGAACATTTAGAGGATAGTATCCCTTTCTGTTGAGATAGTGTCCTGCCATTTGGGGCCCAACATTTTTAGCAGGACACTTTATCCTGACGTGCGTGCAACCTATTGCTCCTATAACTGTGGGACATTGAGGTATGCTGTAAAATTTCGATTTTTCCTCGATAAATTCGCGACCAGTCGGATATACTATAAAGTGAGGTAATAAGAGAGCAATTTGTTTGCAAATAATCGTTATTAATTTTGCCACGGTACACTGAGAAATTCCATGTAGGTCGCCTAAAATAGCCAAATGAAATACTTTGTCCACCCCACTTAATCTTACTCACCTATGTCACTTTGGTGAACATTTCATCCTAGAAACGGTAGTGTTGTTAGAACCTGGAGGCTTGCTGAAATCGGAAGTCTTTTGTTATTAATGGGCTCGTCAATATCAAGAATTTCTACCAAATATAAAATAGCTGCTTTATCGAAGCGATATCTCTCAAAAAAATCCTCCTCTTCCATTTGAAAACGACGTTGGCGTTCCTTGTATGTTTTGCTCTTTCTGGTTGCGATTATATCATCCAAAATCGCAAAATCTCCAAATATCATTTGATTGGGAAGCATATTCTTCAAATTAAGAAATGTTAAAACCTGCCTCTAACTTGTCTATAACTACGGCCCATTATTTCTCAAGCTATATAACTGACCGGCCGCTGTTGTGTAGTGGTAAGCAGTGCGTGCCACCACCATGCAGGGCCTGGGTTCAAGCCCTGGTTAAAGCAACTTCGCAAAAAATATCGAAAAATCGTTTTTTCTTAACAGCGGTCGCCCCTCGGCAGGCAATGGCAAGCCTCCGAGTGTATTTCTGCCATGAAAAAGAGATTCTCATAAAAATACAATCGCCATTCGGATTCGTTAGTTTACGAGGCTTTTATTGGAACGCTCCCTGTGTGAAAATGTGTAAATAGATGCGCAAAGTGACTATTTGACAGATCAACTAGGATTTTGTGAAGCAATTTTTTTTTCGTTGTATTTCCATAACATCCCGCCATCTTATCTCTATCACTCTTGTCTAAACTACAATTAAAAATGCCGACAATTAGTAGAAAACCAAAGTCAATACAGTTAGTGGATGAAATTCACTCATTTTATTCGTGTATTTTTTCATTTTTTTTTATTGTTTTATCATACATTTTAGTATAAACATTTCGGCCCCTCGGCAACACTGAAATTTACGAGGTCGTTTGCGCATAAAATTTGCAACGTAAATTTACGAGGCGCTCGTAAATAGAGCTCCATACAAATTTAGACTGTTCTTTTACCAGGCCCGTAAATTTACGAGCTTTATGAAGGTTACGAGGCTTTTACGAGTATAAGGGAAGACCCCTATTGAAACTTTCAATTACAACAGTAATTGCTGGTTTGGTGTTACTGCTTAAATACATAATAAAACTTGGTTGCTAATTATCAACACCTTAGTAACACCGCTTATTTTTCAAGAAATTTTTTCTTCAAAAAGGTACCTACAAATAATTAGTAGGGCCGAGTAGGATTTTGATTCCTTTACCAAAAACTAATGCAAAGGTCCCTTTAAGGATCCGCGCATACTCTACTTTTCTATGTAAGCAATTCCACTAATGAGGTGTCATTTGAAAAGTCTGCGGTCCCTGAGTGGTTATTAGGTAATATTAGCCTCATGATCTAGTGAAATTTTATTCACCTCATAGTTGTCAAAAATTTACTCGCCGCGAACTTTGTTACCGATTCACACACGCTCATAGTAGTAAAAAAATGCAA